GCTAGAGTCCGGTTGCAAAGGCTCAAACAAGTTAGGATCAATTTAGGAGCACATTAATGACTTCACAAGTCTGGTCCTTGAAATCCCTAACATGTCATGCAAGGATGCTCTTTTCAATATCATGGATGGACTTCAACCATGGGCAAAAACAAAGCATAGATGACGTGGAGTACAAGATCTTGCTACTGTCATTTTCGTCGTTGAGAGATTTATTGACTTTACAAAGGAGCCTGCAAAGCTAAGGGATGAGAAGAGTGCCTATGTCAAAGATGAGGCAAATAAGGTCAACACAAGGAAGAGACTAGCTATGAATCATCCACATCCAAGGGCACAAATAAGGGAAAATAAAAGGATAATAAAATATAATAATTGCTATCTTTGTGAAGGAACTCATTGGGCAAGGACTTTTCCTTAAAAGAAAGCCTTGAACTTTCAACGTACTAGCAAGTCATCTCGGAGAAGAAGAAGAAAGAGGAAGTGATATGGTGGCCCAAGTGGGGTCAATGCAACTGTTGAATGTGATGCAAATTTCGTCAAATCCTCAAGCAAAATGGCTACACTTTGTGGAGATGGTGATAGGTGGAAAGACTACAAAAGCCATAGTTGATACAAATGCTTATCATAGCTTCATCTCCATTGAAGAAGCACAAAGGATACAACTACATGCAATTGAAGAAGGAGGCTCCATCAAAGTAGTTAATTCAACAATAAGATCAACAAATGGAATAACTAGAGGAGTAAAGACTAATATTGGAACTTGATCAGGAATGCTGGACTTCTTTATCATGCCAATGGATGATTAAAATTGTTATTGGACTAGAATTCTTGGATCAGGTAAAGTCATTCCCGATACCCTTCAAATAGCATGTGCATTATGGAAGTCAATCAAGTTTGCTTAGTTCTAACAAGAAAGACTAGCACACATGAAACTAAGATGCTATTAGCCATTCAATTCAGGAAGGACATCCGACGAGAGGAGGAAAGCTACTTAACATTCTTATGACTAAAATGATAAGGAAATAAAGCCCTAAGAAGACTTGCCAAGGTATGTAGCAACAATAATTGATGGGGTTAAAAATATCTCACTTACATAGTTACCAAATAAGCTACTACATATAGGGGAGAGAAACTATCAAATTGGGCTGGAGCCAAGGACTGAGCCGCTAGTCATGAAATCTTACTACACCACACCCCTCTCCCTTACAACCAACAATGAGGAAAAAAATCAACAACTTTCAAGTTTGCCAAGTCTGAAAGCAAACAAAAGAAATTGGTTCATTAAAACTACAAAAAAGACAAAAAAGTGGGTGGCGAATAAAAGGTAGACGTGGAGTATAAAAAAGAAGTTTCATCAAGAGGAAAACACAAACAAGCACCAACAACAATAATCACTTCTTTTGATAAGAAAGTTGATAAAAACTTATTGATCAGATTAATTATCAAAGAGGGGTACCAAACTACAAGAATTACCTCTTCAAGGGGAAATGACTACCAAATAGTGAAGCCAATTAGGAACATAAAAACACATTGTGAAAAAGAAAAGATCCAAAAGTATCAGGAGGAAGATACAATGAAGATAATAATTATGCTTACATAGTTGAAGATAAGAAACAAACTTCTAGATAATGTACTTTTGTTGGAGGTACCTTACTTGGAATGTAAGAAATAAACTTTTGTTGGTCGATTCAATGCTAAGGCTACCTTTTGAGCTATGGCCTATTTATATTAAAAAAAATGATGTGCTTAAAGGCTCTTTTAAGAGAGTTTGGATTTCCAAATTCCCAGTCTATGGTTCAATATTATGATAGTCATAATGTCTTCTACACTGCCCGACAATCTTGAGCTCATTGAAAAAATAAAACTTATTTAGAGTGTTTACAATTTCATTGAGAATAATACACTTCTTAACAATGACAACTAATCTCTCATATCTCTTGCCGAGAAGAATAACAAGCAGATATTTTATTTGAATGGGAATGTTATCAAATAAAATATCAAATTAAAAAATACTCTAAATTTGATGAGTGATGTATTTTCATTTGATTATACAATAGAATTTTGCTCTTTTTCCTCTTATAACAGAGGGATGCCCTAACAAATAACACACACCAAAAACTTTTCTCCTCTTAAGAATATTTTTGAAATATAAACATTTTTGTATTGTCCATTTGCCTTATAAAGTTTCTCAGAACTCTAAGCAATTCAATTGAATGGGAATGCTTACCAGTAAATGTTGGCTTTAGAATACATTTCAAAGTCTCCTGAAAATGAAGTCTCTTCATAATAGTGCTGAAAAAAAGCCACAAGTTGCCTGTCTTCTAATAGTATGTTTCTCCTATTTCTCTGTTTCAGTTAATGCACGCCTGAATTGTTTATCATTTAAGCAAGAATATTCCATGAAGACCTTTTGAATTCCACATGCCTATTAAAACATCTTCCTTCTGACAGCTTACATTTGACCTCTATCATACGTGCCTTCTCATGTGGAAAATTTTTTTTATAGTGCATGCATATCACACAATTCTTATATATTTACATATCTAACGCTAAACTTTAGAGAGATTTACCCACCTACCACCCAATTCCTATGTATTAACATATCAACCACCTAAACTTCATTTCTTACTTACAGACCACCCAACCATATTCTGAAAACATAGGAATCAGGTGGTATATATGTAAAAATTGAAGTTTAGGTGGTTGATATGTTAATACATAAGAATTGTATGGTATGTGTGCACATGCCCCTAAACTTTAATTTTACATACATACTGCATTTTACATATCTATGCATGAAAAGATGCATTGCACTTTTTAAAAGTTAAATAATGATTATTTTGATGTGACACGAAAGATTCGAGCAATATAAAAATAAAAAGCAATGTTTAGATGATAGATATGTAGTATATATACAACTAATAATAATCATAATAGTACATAAAAGAATTGTTGAGTTATGCACACCTAAATTTTAATTGTGAATTGTGATGCCTTCAATGGATATATTAATATCCAAATTGCAACTGAAAAATAAAAAGCAATGTTTAGATGATAGATATGTAATATATATACAACTAATAATAATCATAATAGCACATAAAAGAATTGTTGAGTTATGCACGCCTAATATTTAATTGTGAAATTGTGATGCCTTAAATGGATATGTTAATATCCAAATTGCAACTACATGAGACAAATTGTAAGATTATGAGCTAAGATTACACATAACCTAAGACTTTATCTCTGTTTTTTGTCCTTTCCTTCACACATGAGCTGCTGCCTTTTTGCTCAACTGAAGTTTTCTAAATTGTCAACTAAGATGACAACTAATCTCATAATTTAAGACTTGTTAATTGGAGATTAGCTTCCATGTCTTCTAGCCAGACTGTTAATTATTTATTTAGTCACCAATGCATTGCTGGTGAGTTTACATACAAACAAGTGTCATTTATTAGACATTGATGAGGGGGTTTTAAGTTTTTTTTTTGGACAAAGAGGACAAAATGAAAGACAGATAAGGATATTGTAGTGTATTTAAGGGGATGTAAGGTTTACTTTAGAATAAATATATAGTAAGCAAATTCTTGTAAAGTAGTCATCATTACAACCTTTTATCTATAAATTATTTGAAGTCAGCTTTAAGAATCCATGGTTTGTTTATTGGAATAGCCGACTAAGATGAGGTTCTAAATTTGTTCCTAATAATTTTTTCAATATTTTTATTTGTATTATTTTTAGGGGTTAAGAGAGAGACCGCTAATGAAATTTCGGAAACAGTTTCGAGAAATCTGAAGCAAAAATTTGAACAAAAACACACAAAACAAGAAAATACAAAAAACATAAAATCTAACATGAAAAAACTTAGAACTATAATAAATTATGGAGCCACACTATACCAAGAAATCTATTATGAATAAAATGAGGAGAATTGAACAAAATATATCACACTAAAGCCTCTCTATACTTTGGAATGTTTCAAAACACTTGCACAAGAGAAATCGAAACCACATACATTCCAATTGGCAAAACCAAAACTTTAATCAGAGAACGATTCAAATCCAGTTACTGGCATCGGGGTGCCACTATAGTGACACTGTGCCGCTCCAACTGGCGCTATAGTGCTGCATCCGAGGGCTACAATGTTGTACCCTCATGTTCTAAACCTGATTTTGACGTTGCGATGTCGTCTTTTATGAATTGGAGCATTGTTGGCGTGGTATTAGAGCACTACTAGTCTAACATTGGAGCGCTAGGCATAGAAAGTAAATTTTTCAGGGGCAACGCCTCTGAACTCAATATATAGGGGACACCTCCCGTACCCCTGGGTAAACTCATCGCCAAACATTATCGATGAAATTGAAGGCTCTGAATAAACAAATGATTAAAACAACCAAATTCCACATAATAACATTAGAAATGCCTCGATTTGAAGAATTTAAAATTTTTTAAAATTGTACAGATTTCAACGAGGAAAACTCATAGCCCGTTTTGCAACCCTTCTTGCCCTCGGTTATCAGCACCATTGTTAGTGCAACTTGCACATCACTATTGCTGATGCCGCCCGCCGTTGTATTTCATTGCAACCCAAAACATATCCTTACAAATGTAGAAGAAATTTCAAAACATTCCATTAGCAAAAAACCAAATAATTCATACATTTCTAAAATCCATCCACATTAATCAGATTTTTTCCAAACTAAACAGCCCCCAAAACCCATTGTTCCCCACTCCTTTCTAATCCACTATTCAGCAATAAGCAAATTCAATTATTTCATACCATTTCTTCAACGCATCCACCAACCATGTAATAACTGAATTCAATATTCAATAATAGTTTTGCCTCAATGTCCAATGCATCTCAATTATGTAATAGAAACAATGAAAGCACTAACATGAACAGTAGAAACAGAAACCATGTTAACTCATGAAAATTTACAGTCGCAATAGTACAACAATTAAATCCTGAAAAGATAAAAAAAACTTCATTTTCAAACTGGAAATCATATACTAGAACTTCTCTGAGAAATAAAATCCTTAGCCATCAAATTGCTTTTCATGGCGAAATCATCAACAGTATATCCAACTCTATCAAACCTCCCCTTGACACTGTTCTCCCTAAATTTCACATAATCCTGGCAAATGAATGGTGGATACATTCTTCTGTTACCTTCTCCCACCACATCTTCAGGAGCTCTTATCACCTTTTCATCCTCAAAACACCAAAAGAAAGCCATTGAGAATCTGTTAACACAGTCCTTTAACACTACCCTGTGTTCAGATGATCTCAGGCGTCCGTTGCTCCAAGCTTGCAGCAAATCTCCAATGTTGACCACCAAGGTTCCATCCCTTGGTGCTACGCTAACCCAATCCCCACTCTTTGATCTCATCTGAAGCCCACCAGTGTGATCCTGATACAGAATTGTGATGCAGCTCATATCTGTATGTTTCCCAAGCCCTTCAATCTCTAATGTGTCAAGGCTCCCTGGTGCTGAGTAGTTGTTAATCCTCAGGTATCCATGGCATCTGTTGAATTCAGATTCCAGTTTCTTCTTATCAAATTCATCTTCAAGACAGTTTAATAGAATGGAGATAATCTTTTTTGATAGATCCATCATCCTGTTCCCATATTCTTGAAATATTTCACTGCAAAAACAGTGCAGCTGATTAAGTTTTCAGCTGGGTTAGAAGATTTAGTGATGAAAGACAAATGTATTTACCAGAAGTCAGAATTGGATTGCTGGAAGAGTACATCGCTTGAGTTCTTAGCTGAGTTGTAGAAGTCTGGGCCTGAAACTCTAAGGCTTTCAAAGAAAGGGGATGCAATGAAGTGAGGAGTGTAGGTGTTGATGTTGGCTGAGGGTCCGAGCTTGAGCTTGATATCTAAGGGCTGGTTAAAGGCTTCTTTGGATTGGATGTGGATCTTAGTGTATAGTTCCTTGGAGATTCCATGGTTGATTATGTGGAAGAAGCCCCATTCGCGGCAGGCTGAAGTGAGAGAGGAGAGAACAGAAGGAAGTAAGGGTTGGGAGATGTCCAGTAGAGGGAGATGTCCAGCAGAGGGAGTTGAAGAGGATTCATTTGAGAATTCTGCATTTCATGAGAGAGAGAGGGGGGTTCTGTTAAGTTAGTTTATGAGTTCTGCTGAGTTTGTTGGGTGCCTTTTTATAGAAAAGTTAGATTATTTCAGACACGCATGTATATCTGTAGCAGAGGTGGGCGTGGGGGGTGTTGTAGCGGAGGTGGTAGTTATTTTAAATCCAGTTAATAGCGACAAAACTAGATCTTGGAATAGTACATGATAAATACTTGTGGTAAGAAAAAATATAAATGTAGCAGTGGTCTCCATTGATTGATTGTTATTTGACAACTCAAGTTCTGCATTCCGGAATAGCACATGATAAATACTTGTGGTAAAAAAAAAATTATGAATGCAGCATTGCTTTCCATTAATTATTATGTATGGTGGAAGATCTGTTGTGGTAGAGTAATAAAAAATTATCTTATTATTAATTTAAATTCAGCACACACATAGATAATTAAATAAAAGTAAATAGGAGAAGACATGTCGATTTATTGAGTGGAACCCTGAAAAGGATAAAAATACACGTGGTCTGGCCCAGTTGAAACAATCCACCATGAATTGTGAGTAAACATGTCAACTCTTCTTCTGAATTAGAAAGATGAAGTTACAAAATGGATCATTGTAAATGTAAAACAGAAGTTTATCGATAATAGTCTAATTTTGGCTATGATGAATCTAGTTCTCGGTGATGGCGGGCTGCAAGGGTTATAGTCGATTGCTATGGAAGCAGAAGTTTGTCATGAATATCGTAGAAAGTGGCTATAGCGCTAGCATGTCATATAGTCATAGTTGAAAGTCATTGTAGTTGTTGGTCGTGTGGACCATAGATGGTTACTTCAAGATTGTCAATAGACCACATATGTCGTAGTAGAAAGATGTAGGAGTTGTGAGGCTTGTATATTGTAGCTGGTCACATAGACCGTATTGATGAGTTGTTATGATGTCCATAGGCTACAGAGATTGGAGTCGGGAGCTACATGAGTTATCGATCATGTAGGTCATAGTTAGTCATATAGGTTGTAGTGGTGAATTGTGATGATGTTTGTAGGACGTAGTGCTCAGAGTCGAGAGTTACATGAGTTGCGAGTCATGTAGGTTGTAGTGGTGAGCTGAAACGTGTTGTTGGTCGCAGGGGCTGGAGTCCGGAGCTATATAAGTTTTGTACCATGTAAGTCATAACTGGTCACTTAGACCATAGTAGTGAGCTATAACGACGTCAGTGACCACAAAGACCAGAATTCAGAGCTACACAAGCTGTGGATTATGTAGGTTGTAGTTGGTTATGTAGCTCGTAGTGAAAAGCTATAATGTCCATAGGCAGCAAAGGCCGTAGTTAGAGCTACATGAGTTGTGAAACATGTAAGTCGTAGTTGGTCATATAGATTGTAGTGGTGAGCGTTGATGACATCCTTAGGCCGCATGGGCTGGAGTCGAGAGCTGCACAAGCTGTGGACCACACATACTTAAGTCATAGTTGGTCATATAGCCCGTAATGGTGAGTTGCAATGAGAGAGCTATAGAACTCTAGAGAAAGTCACCATTTTCGCGGTGTATTGTTACACCATCTTTGAGAGACATCATTGCACAGTATGTGGAGTGCATCTGAAAGCTACATTTTGGCACCGGACCTGTGTAAGTGTGCTAGAAAGTTATAGTCTGACCTTTTTTTTAAAAAAAAAATTTGTAATAGCCGTCACAGTTTTTTTATCAGCAGTTTCTTTTGTAGCAATTTCACGTTGTTTCTTCGAGCAGTTACGGTTGCCCCAAAGCGACCTTTAGTGGGATAAAGGCTAGTCATTATTGTTGTTTTCCTTGTTGTATTAAGTCAGTGAAATACTCTTTTAATTAATATAAGAAAGATTTACATACAAAATACTCAATTTTTATCTATTTACACATCTAACATCTAAACATTAATTTTTCAATAAATATCACCTTATCTATGCCAGACAAAATTTATTTCACCTTTTTTAAGTTAAAATAATGACATTTTTTTACTTGATAAGAAAAATTTGCACTGTACAAGTATAAAAAGTAAAGTTTTGGTATTAGATTTGAAAATACATAAGACTTATATGGCAGTATGTAAATACCCTTAATATAAATCAACAATTAAAACTATAATTAAGTAAGATTATTTAAAAAATTAAACCAGCCAAGCATAATGTACATATATGACTCGAGCTCTAGCTGAATTTGAACAACTTATACTATCATCAAACCAAATCTAAACTTCGGCATACTCTGGTTGCACTATGTCTTATATTTTATTTTTTAAAACTAAAATTAATTGAGTTACCACTTCTTCTTTCATCAGATATCTAAAACGGATCTAAACTTCTTTTTAAAATTTAATACCTTCCAAGCAAATTAATGGCTGTAATTATAAGAACTGACACAAGTTTTCTGTTTCTAATACAGATCAGTTAGTCCCTTAAATAGTATGATCTGAAACGAACGGCAAAGTTCTCATCTCATCAATAAATATAGAAATAACGTTGAAAAGGATACCTGAAACCAACTCTTTAGCTCTTTATTTTATCTCTTATCCTTTCTTCCTCCTGGCATCATGTCTTTCTGTCACAGGAAGAGATGTCAGGTGGTGTTTTGGAGGTTCTGTTAGTAAATGCAGAAGGCCTAAAGCATGCAAGACTGTCAGGTTTTCACTTTCTGATTCTATCCTGAATCATCAATGGCGTTTTTATTTTATTATTTGTTTGAATTTGATTCTTCGAATAATAAAAAAAAAATGTTTTTTGATCTGCAGGATCAAGGAGACATGTTGTGATAGAATGTGGTGCGCATACTATTGCAAGCAAATTCACAACAGGTTTCCATTCTCTCTCTTCTTCTTCATCTGTCTCAATTCATACCGGGTCACCAAGTGATGCATCCTTTATATAAATTGAACAATTATTGTATCAAAGAGTGCTGATGAAATTTTGCATCAGTACTTCAATCAAGATCTGTCAAGTATATAAGCAGACTCACTCATATATTAAATTATTATTCTTTTTATCAAAGTGAGTTTTTCTGTACACGTGACAGATCTTGATTGAAGTCATGATGCAACACTGCATCAGGATTCCTGATACAATAATTTGTCATATAAATTAACTTGATATATTACGAGACAATTCTTTCTTATGATAAGGCCAAGATAAAAATTTTCCTTTTTCGAATTACGATTGCTTTTCTACAAATTTGCTATCTATTATGAAAAAATATATGACATATGCAACAACTAATTTATATATATGTGTTCGACTCGTTAGGCTTAACGAACGAGCCGAACACGAGCTGCTTAACGAGCCGAACACGAGCTGTTCACGAACAACGAGCCAAATTGACAACCCTAGTTTTGAATGGACTTTGAACTTTTTCCATCGTATTATCTGTATTTAAATTAAGAAAATATTTATTTTATAAATTACTTTTGTTTTTTATGTATACATATTTTCATTATAATTAATTTATTTTTTCATATTTATTTTAATTTTATTTTTTTTTTCAAAAAAAATGAGCACAAATGACAATATGTGTGATTTGAACTAAGGGTCGTGTTCGAGAAAAAAATGTAAGGAGAACCATTCATTAATTTATATTTTTAATTGCATTAGCTGAGGATGGCAAGGCTTGGTGGAATGAGAAATTCTCATTTAATTTGTCTCATTTGGACTTGAAGAAATTGAGAAGGATGAGGCTAAGAATCGTGGGGCAGGACAAGCTTTTCGAACATCATCACATTGGTGAAGCCACGTAAGATATTTTAACTTCTTTTTTTTTTCTGAAAAATATATTAAAATATTTAAATATGTCTAATTTATAATTTATTATAATAATATCATTCAACTTATGTAGTTTTGAATGGACTTTGAACTTTTTCCGATATGTCTAATTTATAATTTATTATAATAATATCATACATATAATTCCTTAACGTATGTAGTTTTGGTATTTAAATTAAGAAAATATTTATTTTATAAATTATTTTTGTTTTTTTATGTATACATATTTTCATTAAAATTAATTTATTTTTCCATCTTTATTTTAATTTAATTTTTTTTTTGGAAAAAATGGGCACAAATTACAATACGTGTGATTTGAACCCGAACTTATCGAACAAAATTAATGAGCCGAACATGAGCATCTTAACGAGTTCAACACGAGCTGTTCGCGAACAATGAGCCTTTTTGCCAGCCTTAATTTGAACCCACGACCTTATACTGGTGAACTATACTCTTAACTACTATGTCGCGGGTAAGTGTACTAATATAGTTTTATTGTTGTGGTCTATAAATTTATTATAATGATTTTCTTAATTTCATTTATTTATTGTGATAATTTATTCTTATTTGCATTTTAATTAAGAATATATTTATTTTATCATTATTTTTATTTATTTTGTATATGTATAATTATTAAAATTAAATATTTTATTGTCTTCATTATAGCTTTATTCTTGTTATTCATAATTTTTTCACATAATAGTTTTGTGAATTTTATTTATTTATTTTGATTATTTTAACTTTTTTTATCGTAAAATCATAATTATATAATTTTAATTATAACTTTATTGTTATGATTTTCAAATGAAATATACATACATAAGATGCATAAGGAAAACATATATATCCTTAATTTAATACACTAAAATGAAAAATGCCTTTGGGAGTTTGCAAGCAAATAAAGGAATGTGCATTAAAATTAATACTTTTATTCTTAATTTGAAAATAATAATAGAAAATAAAATAATAATACTAATAAATTAAAATTAAACTTAGCATTACTACCTAAGTTAAAAAAAATGATTACATCAAATTTTTGTTTGTTTGGAGTATGTATAATTTTATATAGAAATGACATTGCAAATTAAAATTACATCTTAATTTATTTTCTAGTACAATAAATTATTAAAATAAATTATTTCACATTAATATATTTTATGCAAATTAAAATGCATGTATAATCTCATAAATATAAATTTTTTGAATGATCGTGCAGAATACATCTTATGGACATCATAAAAGAGGGACATCACAGAGGAAAGATTGAAATAAAGCCAACCTCATACAACGTTGTTCTCGAAGATCAAACATACAAAGGAGAGATCAAAGTTGGACTCAAGTTCACCTCTGGTGTGAGTCCTCTAAAACTCGTCCAAGAATTCATTTTCTATGAATAGCGTGCGCGCTCACACAGACACAGACACACACACGGAGTCATTTTATTGTATTTGGTTCAAATTTGAATAAACATATACAAATTGCGTACAAACATTCAAAAAGAACAACATAGATGCATGATAGATTCAATCAATGTCGGCTCACTTATGTCGCTTAGTAACAATAATGTTTTTTTTTATTACATTATATAATAAAATTATAGATTTTTATAGTATAGAAGCTTCTGCCAAAAATACTTCATTTCCATGCTTGTCAAATTATAGATTAGAGGGTCTGAAAAAGCATGTGCAAATGATGGATTTTTGAGCTAAATTGATTCATTTGGCTAATATTTGACAATGGAGCACAGAGCCTATTACATTGGGAGGAAATCTCTTTGAACTAAAACTAAATCAACCACGAAGTCACCTAAAATATGTTGATTTTTAGCATCAAGTAACGAATATTGACACAAACATTTATTGGGAAGCAATCTAATATGAATCAAGCCAAGAACTTTGTATCAAGCACTTATTGGTTGCAGCCAATCTGATGTTTTTAACTTTAGAATTTATTCATTTTCGTTGTTGTTTTATCAGTTTTAATTATAATTTAATTTTGCAAGGAAAAAAATTGAAGATTAAAGTAAGAGAATGTTAATATATATAGCAACAACAACAACAACAACAACAATCCTTTATGTAAGTAATGTTAATATATATAGCAACAACAACAACAACAATCCTTTATGTAACTAAGTGGGGTCGGCTACATAAACTCTTTTTCTCCATTGTGTCCTATGGACGGTCATATTTTCATTAAGTTCTAATAAATTAAGATCATTTTTTATACAACACGCCCCAGTAATAAATTAAGATCATTTTTTATACAACATGCCCCAATTTTTTTAAGCCTACCTCTATCTTTTTTAGCATAAGTCAAATCTAAAGGATCTACTCTCCTAACTGAATCATCAGTTGGTCGACGTTTAACTTAACCAAGCCATCTAAGGCATTTCTCTCTAATCTTGTCTGCCATAGGGGCTACTCCAAACCTTTCACGGATACATTCATTTAGTCTTTTATCTTCAAGTGTCAAGCCACTCATCCACCTAAGCATTCTCATCTCAACAACGCTCAACTTAGTTTTATGCTTCTCTTTTAAAGACCAAAATTCTGCGCCATAACATATTACAAGTCCTAACAGAGGAAAATAAACAGTTGCACCACCCCCTCTAAGAAGTTTCCATCCCCATTACTTCTATTATTTCTCATACCTATTTCATTTTCATATTGTCATGCATTGAGATCAATGCACAATGTAAGTGTAGCGCGGGAGTACTTTTATGTTTGTTTTTTCTATCAATGGCTTGCTCTGTATTCTTGCTTGTTAAGTACACTCACCTTAGTATTTTGTTGTTTGTAGCATAACTTATTTTATGAGGTAAGATTATGTTCTTATCCAAAATTAATATTGTAAAATCTATTACTATGAACATTTGCAGGCTAAAGAAGTAGGGTCTGTGAAGACAAGATGGAGTTTGCCTGAAAAGCAGCCGCTGTCCTTGTACGAAATTATCTTAAATTTGACTCTGCGTCGGATCTTTTGGCCAAGATTTAGCTTCTGTTTTATGCATAGATCAACAAAACATTCCTGATGTAATAAGCCTTTCCTAAAAATAAGAATGTCCCCACAAAGGATTCCCTTAAGAAAACAAATCAAATATTTACCAATAGACTAAAGGATTTTCAGCCGGCTAAGCAATTATTAAATGAACAAATGTTGGTCGTATAAATATGAAAAGCCGCTAGTAGCGGTTATGAATTTTAGAAGACCCCAAAGTCAGTTACAAATATGTAAAGTTGTAATGGTTCATATATCATTGGTAAAGTTCCTATTTAATCAGGGATAAAAAATCTACTAGGCACCCCCTACAATCTATAAATAGGGGGTCATTTCTTCAAAAAGAACTATTGGATCTATTACAATAAAACTTGTGCAAATATGTGTTATACTCTATTTTTTCTCTATTCTTCTCATCCGCCCAATGTTTTATTCTTTAGGCGCGACATACAAGATATTTTGGGATTAAACAATTGTAGTTCTATAATGAATATGTACACTCAAAAATGATCTGCACGGATCTCAAGGCAATCCAGTGGTTCAGATAAGAAGACCAGAATATCCAAAAAATCTCGTACTAGCCCCTTTAAAGCAAGTGCAATGTTGTAATTTAATTTTTGTCCTCCTATCATCTATAAATAAGAGGGTTCTTTCATGTAAAGTAGCATTTTTTTATTCCCCTCTTGTAACTCAACTATTTAAGTGAAATTAAATAGGTCTAGTCTCGAAAACATCTCATTAGCCCCGATGGGGCAAGGCCTCATCTTCTCTTTGTCTCACACACACACTCTCTCTCTTTCTCTATCTTCTCTTTGTCTCACACACACACTCTCTCTCTTTCTCTCCCTCTTTCCTTCTCTTTTCCTAGATCCCAATACTAGATATAAGAAAAGATACATATATGGCTATTAAGATTCCCGATAAAACTTTCTTATATCTAGTATTGTTAAACACATTCAACAATTACTCATTACATGTAGAAATTTAAATTTATTTTTTATATATATCTAAAAATAAGCAACTTATTTTCTTCAAAGCTTACATAATTTAAAATTAGTATTTTAATTTTTGGTGAAGGGTGAACGTCATGGAGTTCGAGGTGTTCATTCATTCCGGAAGCCACCTGGCACTCGGGGAACTTTAACACGGGTTAAAAAATCTAACAACGATGCCAGTCAAGGGATTTTCCTTACGATGAGCTCAAGTCTCGTAGCTCAAACTGGATGAATATCCAGAGACGATTCCTTGCCCAATAGCGGCAAACTCCGTGAAGGGTACAATGACAATCATCCTGGAGAAAAGTCTAGGCAGTCTCTTCCCACATAGAGGGGACCTAACCTAAGACGGAGGTTCGTCCAAGAAACCAAAGAACCCCAAGCAAGTGAAAGGCTAGTACCCTGCTTCATTGCCCAAAGCCGGAGATTAATCCCTATCTAGTCACGTCAAGCTCCGCGAAGGATATAGTGACAATCATCCTAAAGAAGAGTCTAGGCAGCCTCCCAAAGAAGGAAGACCCAACCTAAGATGGATATATAACAGTCGCGACATAAGCTCCCCGATCAAATAAAAGCGATTGGCCGAGATGCTAAAATCGTTTGGTCGATCCCCTCTACTTACACATCCTCAAAGATGATCCCTACTCGACAGCGACAAACTCAGCGAGGGGTATACGAAGATCATCTTTGGCACTTAAGACAATTTGTCACCTGACAACGACAAGCTCCATGAGGGTCATATGACGATTGTCTTTAGCCTTTATGACGATTTGCCACCCGACAACCGTGAGGGGTATACGGTGATCATCTTCGACCCTTAAGATGACTCACCACCCGACAGCGCAAGCTTCGGCAGGGGTATACCTCGATCGACTTTAGCCCTTAAGATTATTCGCCGCCTGACAACCACAAACTCCGCGAGGGTACTACGACGATCATTTTCATGCTTAACCTAAACAAACTTAATAGGGAGTATTAATAGTGATTTATGTGCTCATTTTTTGTTTTTTTTTATAAATTCTCTTGTTCTTCTCGCAGTTGTTGCTATCAAGGAGTAAGAAAATTGAAAAACTTAACATTTCACTTAAAAATATTGCACGGATCTCAAGGCAATGCAACAGTCCATATAAGAATAATAGGTACCCAAAAAATCTTGCACTGACCCCTTTAAAGCAAGGGCAATGTTGTTATTTACTTTTGATCATTCTATCATCTATAAATAGAAGGGCCCTTTCATGTAAAGTGGTATTTTGGTTCCTCTCTTGTACCTAACTATTAAGTGAAATAAATTAGGTTTAAGAATCCCAGGAACATCTCATCTGCCCCGATGGGGCCAGTCCTCTCCTCCTCCTCCTCCTC